GGAATCTAGAGACATTCCATATGGCCAGTATTCCCCACAGGATGTTTTCTGAATGCTAGGGTGATAGAGACTGTGGATTGGACTGGAGAGGCAAATAATGTTTCCTGTAATCTTGCAGTACTTAGGAGACAATATACCAATAAAAGAAGAAGCTTAAAACAGACATTTGAAATCAGAAGTAGACTAAATCTAACTAAAGCTGTGACCAAGCACTGGCCAAGCTCAATTCCTAATTGAATTCGTGTGATCTGCCCTTCTTGTTCTCTGCCCAACTAAGGAAAGGGTAAACTATCTCTGGGAGAAAATAACATTAATTTTAGTATCTATAGATCTTATATATGTAATTTCTGTCATACAATTTAAAAATGTACAAAAATTACGAGACTTGTAAAGAAGAAGGAAAATATGGGGTGCCTGGGTGGCTCGGTCGTTAAGCGTCTGCCTTCGACTCAGGTCATGATCCCAGGGTCCTGGGATCGAGCCCCGCATTGGGCTCCCCACTCTGCGGGAAGCCTGCTTCTCCCTCTCCTACTCCCCCTGCTCGTGTTCCCTCTCTAGCTGTCTCACTCTCTGTCAAATAAATAAATAAAATCTTAAAAAAAAAAAAAAAAAGAAGAAGAAGAAGGAAAATGTGACCAGTAACCATGAGGGAAAAATAGACAGTAGAAGCAGACTCCAAGATCATTCAGGTATTGGTGTTAGCAGGCCAGAGCTTTAAAATTACTATTATAAATATATTAAAGAAAACAGAAAATTTGGACAAAATGGATGAAAACATGAATAATTTCAACTGAGAATTGGAATCTATATAAAAAGAGATTCAAATGGCACTCTAGAACTGAAAAAATATATATGTGAAATCTGAAATTGGGAACTGATCACATGAGTTTAAGAGCAGACTGGCAAAGACAGGATTAGTGAATGCAAAGACAAGTCAATATAAAGCACCCAAAATAAAGCCCAGAGAGTGAAATAAAATGGAAAGAAGAGAAGACTGTAAGAAACATTTACGATGTAAAGAATGTCTAACATATGCAGATTTGCAATCCCAAAAGGACAGGAGAGTGGGAATTGGAAAGAAACAATATTCAAAAAGATAATGGCTGAGAATTGTCCAAAATTGGAAAAAGATTTAGTTGAGAATTCCTATCAACCCCAAGCAATATAAATACTGAGAAACGTGTATTTATATCCATCATGATAAAACTGCTCAAAACGGATAAAAAGAAAAATCTTTAAAGGAGCCAGATTAAAAAAAAAAAAAAAAAGATACTACATTCAAAGAAGTCACAACAATATATCAAGAGCTGAATTTTAAACAGGAATTATGGGAGCAAGGAAACAATGGGACACTATCTTTAAAAAGCTGAAAGGAAAAAAAAAAAAAACAACAAAAAACCAACACTACTATTTAGAGTTTTAAACCCAGTAACAGTATCTTTCCAAAGCCAAATGAAATAAGTGCATTTTTCAGACACATAAAAGCTGGGGTAATTACTCACCAGCCGATCCACATTATAAGAAATCCTGCAAGACATTCTTCAAACTGAAGAAAAATAATCTCGGTAGAAGCCTACTATTAGAAGAAGGAATAAAGGGCACAGAAAAGAATATTGAAACCTCTGGAGCAATCACTAAAAGAATAATACAAAGAGATATAAAAACAGAAGAATTAATAGAAGAGATGAAATGGAGTAATTCAAAGTACTTGACTGAAACATTTCAATGGGTCTTCATTTCTGATAAAATAAATGCCAAGGGCTTTAGCATAGTACACTAGGTGTTCCATGATCTGGCCCCCATTTACCTATCTAGCCTTGATTCTCATCGTGCCCCTTCTAGAACCTAGTCACTTGGAACTACACGTAGCTCCCTTAGCACTCGTTACTCATACCACCTTACATTTGCATAAGCTACTCCTTTGCCAGAAATATCATCCCCCTTTTTTTCTTAACTGACTAACAGCAACTTGACTTTTAGTGTCTAGCTTGACCTAATAAGGTTTCTCCCAAAAAACCATCTATGAATCTCCCTGTGGTCCCACGGTAGCCAGTGCATATCTCTATCACAGCCCTGGGTGTAAAACATAATTATTCATTTCCTTACCTATTTTCCCCACTAGTCTTCAAGATCTTTGAAGGCTGGGCCTCCACATGTTAACTCTTTGTCTTCAGCCTCCAGCACAGGGGCCAGCCTGTGCACAGAGGCATTCAGTATCTACCTCAGAAAAGGCTAAACACATAAGTGAGTGAACATTATTGCAGTATCTGCAAGTTGAAGACTCTAGGATATTATACAAAGCCCGTTACAGTCCTCTGCCTTCCTCAAGACCTTTATTTCTAAAAAGCATACCAGTAGCTCAAACTCAACACATTCTAAACTCAACTCTACTCATGTGTGTCAGACTCACTTCCCTAACATCTCCCAGGGCAGCCAACTCGGAATCACGTGGACTTCTGCCCTACTTCATCCCTGATGTGCCTTTCCTTACACTATTTCCTTGATCTTGACTCCCTTCCTCCTCCTTCACCCTGCAGACTCCTGCCCTTCCTAAGTGTGTGACCACCACTCTGCATTGATTCCTATGCCCCAGTCACAATTCATCTGGCTTCTCCCTTGGTGCGCCCACGGAACATGGTGTCACATGTCATGCATTCCGTTGTCTTCAAAGTCTGCATCTGTCTCTCCCTTACATTGGTGGAACTTATTTAAAAAAATAAATAAATAACTGGTGGCGCCTGGGTGGCTCAGTCATTAAGCGTCTGCCTTCAGCTCAGGTCATGATCCCAGGGTCCTGGGATCGAGCCCCGCATTGGGCTCCCTGCTCGGCGGGAAGCCTGCTTCTCCCCCTCCCACTCCCCCTAATCGTGTTCCCTCTCTCGCTGTGTCTCTCTCTGTCAAATAAATAAATAAAATCTTTAAAAATAATAATAATAATAACTATTTTCCCTTGCAGAGAAGGCAGGTAAGTGAAAATACTGAAAAGAGAGCAAAGGATGAAAAGCTGAAGAAGAAAATTAAAAAAAAAAAAAAACAGAACTGTGGAAATTACGGGAAAAAATTATATTGCAAAATCCAGGAGAAAAAACATTTCTTTGAAAATGTGTTAGAGTATTTCAGTATGTCCATCCAGCCATCTACCCCCAGCCCCCATCTCTCCACAAGCACATCCACCTGCCTGTAAGGAAGAATTCTCCCGCTGCAGACTGTACAAGGCTCCTCACAGGAGCTCAGGAGCTTACACCACTGAGGAGAGGTGTTTGCTGCCCTCACTGTTGACCTCTCCCACCTTCTTGCTCCCCAGCGTTTGCATACTCCCTGTCTTCTATTTCTCTTCTCTCAGTTCTGATTGCTCCATCTTGATTTCCTCCCCTGGGCATGTTCTATGTCCCTACTGTCTTTTTTTTTTTTTTTTTAAGATTTTATTTATTTATTTGAGACAGAGAGAGAAAGGGATGGGGAGGGGCAGAGGGAGAGGGAGAGGTAGGCTTCCCGCCTAGCAGGGAGCCTGATGCGGGGCTCAATCCCCATGACCCTGGGATCATGACCTGAGCCAAAGGCAGATGCTTAACAACTGAGCCACCCAGGTGCCCCTATGTCTCTACTGTCTTTACACTTTGTCCTGGCTCTGTGGATCTTTTCTTACTGTCTGTTCCCCAGATCTCTTCTGTCTGTGACTCAAGAGGATAAGATAAGTACTTCCCACATTTATTTTTAAAAGACGAATCATCCTGGGTGGGGGAAAAATTAGGATGACAGACTGAAAGCCCTGTCAGATGCATAAATGGTTATATAGAGCCCCGAAATTTATGGATTCATGGTTTTAAAAGAAATGAGCAGAAACCATTAGATGACCCTCATGAGACCAAATAAATGATTATAAGTTTAGAAAAGAAAAACTCTTGAGTAAAGGCAAAAGAAAGCTGAGAATAATTAGACTGGAAACTATGGCAATGAGGAATGACAGCTGTACCTTGCTCCCAAGTGGAATTTCAAAAAAAAAAAAAAAAAAAAAAAGTTGACCAAATGTTCTCCTTTCCCGGAGGGAACCAAGTGAAGACAAGAGGCTGAAACTTCCTCCAGTGTGGACATACAGAAACACCTCCCTCCTGCAAGGGTTATTATTTCTCTCAAGGATGATGTTGAACCCTCATCTCTGAGGATTTGAAAAGTTCAGAAACCACAGATCTCAGATGGTTCAAGTGTAGTTCTGATTTTTTGACTGTGACAAGTTGGAAATATGCACTTTTCATTAATTATTTTAAATGAGTTCCCTGCAGTGTCCATATGCTCTCTGAGTGCCTCACTGAGATTCAGGTTGTGCTTTGTGCACTCCCGTAGGGCCCCTCCATGCGGGTAGGATTTCTGTACAGACCCTGTTCTTCAAATCCTTAACAACTTGGAAGCCTATAACCATCTGAAAAAGAGAACATTCTTCTGCACACCTTGTTTCTGAACCTTCAGAGACCATTCACTTCTATTTTTCTAAGCTAAGCTTTCTTGTCCTTTCATTATCTAAGCCTGGCACTGCAGCTGGGAGTCTCTAATACAATGCACATTAAGTAGCCTCTATTTATAGTGTTCCATCTGAAAAGAACAAAGACCAGATTGTCAGAGACCCTGTTCTCAAGCAGTCTTAGGATAGCTCTGTCTCTGGTATCAGTTTTGAAAACGAAGATTATTTGGGGGAAGGGGTTCTCATCCATGGCAGGCTCAGACTGTATATTCATGGCATTCTGACTTCAAAAAAGTGACAAGATGAAAATATTCTTTTAATGTATTCCAGCCTGTTGGCTGCCCTTTTTGAGAGCACAGATCAGCAGCTGAGCTATAAATCTTAACAGTCAAACCACGCTTCCTTCCATGGCAACCTACAAGGCAAACGTATTACTCCCATGCTCTCCGGCTCTGGTTTTTTGTTTTTTCTTTTTTGTTTTTTTTTTGAGTGGTTGAGTTTAACAGGGAGAGAGAACTAGAGGGGATGGTGGCTGAGGACTCACTTTCAGAGAGCAATGGAAGCTCTGGAATTCGGGAACACTCCTCCTCTGGCTTTTCCCTAAAGTACGTCTCCAGGTCCAGAAGAAAAGCTGGCTTCTTCACTTCAGGCAGCTCTTTCAGGGCTCCGATGCTTAATGACCTAAATGCACCTTCGTAACAGTAGGTTTTAGGGGAGGCTAGGAAAAAAGCACAGTGTCATTAATTCCTCAGAAGGAGCTAGCACATTTCCAAGTTAACTTTTGAAAATTTAACCTTCCTGTTCCTCAGCTGCTACAGCTGCAGCGATCAGCAGACCCTATAAACACAGCTGTTCGTGATAAATCCGCGGCCCTTTGATTCAAAGGGACCAAAAGGAACTCAAGGCTCCCCTTTCATTTATTTTTTATTTTGTATTCTTTTGCTATTTTCCCTTGAAAATGTGTATTTTACAGCGTTGGAAAAGCTCCAGTTTCTCTTTTATCTATCAGGAAACTGCATCTTTTGTAAGATGGAATCTTGTTTTTAGCATTTGACAACATATCGGAAATTTTGAATTTGCAGGTACTTTTTAATTTCGCTAACATGTAACCCATTGTATTGAAGATGCACGCAATGAGATGATGAAAAGGAAAGCTTGTTTGTTCATGCACTTAAAAGCAAAGTCTTGGACAATGGGAAAAAGTTTTCTTTTTGCTTCATGGCATAAAATGGAAAAAGCTTCACTCAAGATGTGATATTAGGTTTGTTTCATTGTTAGCCCTGCAAAGGTAGGGACTGTGCTTTTGTCATCGTGGTGGCTCAGTATCTAAGGAAAGTGAACCAATACATATTCAGCACTCACTATGGGACAAGTCATGTGCTGTCAGTGGTTCTCAAATGTAACCAGGCTTCGCAATCCCCTGGAGGGTTTGTTAAATCATACCCTGCTATACATCCTTCCCATTTCCGATTTAGTAGGGTAGGGATGGGCCCCAGAATGTACACTTCTAGGTTCCAGGTGATGCTCATTCTGCTGGCCATGGAACATACTTTAAGAATCAATGTGTTACGTTAAACCAAAGGAGAAATATTCACAACCTGTAAAAGTATCATTATGCCCTTCTGACAGATGAGGAAATTGAGGCTGAAGATACTTTAATAACTTGCCTGAATTTGGCTATCTAGCACATAGCAGCTTGCACTTAAGCTCAAGTATGTTTCACTCCAAAGGTCATGCTCCAAGGTATAATAGTAATAGCAATAACATTAGTAATTAGTAATTGTATCAAGTTTCCGTAATATGCCAGGCACTGTTGTAAGTACTTTACACATATTATCTCATGTAATCTTACAAAAAGCCTATGGAGTAGATTAGTTTATAAATGTGCATTGCAGGGCGCCTGGGTGGCTCATGGTTAAGCATCTGCCTTCGGCTCAGGTCATGATCTCCAGGTCCTGGGATCGAGTCCCACGTCAGGCTCCCAGCTCAGCGGGGAGTCTGCTTCTTCCTCTGCCTCTCCCCCTGCTTATGCTTTCTCTGTCTCTTTCAAATGAATAAATAAAATCTTTTAAAAAAATAAATTAGGGCGCCTGGGTGGCTCAGTCATTAAGCGTCTGCCTTCGGCTCAGGTCATGATCCAGGGTCCTGGGATTGAGCCCCGCATTGGGCTCCCTGCTCGGCGGGAAGCCTGCTTCTCCCTCTCCCACTCCCCCTGCTTGTGTTCCCTCTCTCGCTGTCTCTCTCTCTGTCAAATAAATAAGTAAATAAATCCTTAAAAATAAATAAATAAAAATTAAAAATTAAAAATGCATTGAATATTAAATAATGATGTACATTTTGGCAGCAAAATTTCAGTAGAAATTCTAAAATTAACGTATCTACTCTACAAAACTACAGCTACCTCTTGGACATAAGTTTTTTGTTTTTTGTTTTTTTAAGATTTTATTTATTTATTTGACACAGAGAGAGACAGCAAGAGCAGGAACACAAGCAGGGGGAGTGGGAGAGGGAGAAGCAGGCTTCCCGCCGAGCAGGGAGCCCAATGCGGGGCTCAATCCCAGGACCCTGGATCATGACCTGAGCTGAAGGCAGACGCTTAACGACTGAGCCACCCAGGCGCCCTCTTGGACATAAGTTTAAACAAGACTGGCAATGAGTGAAATATTTTCATATGATGGAGTTTGGGGAATTATTCTCACCACACTTCTGTTTTTTAAGATTTGTTTATTTGTTTGAGAGAGAGAGTATGAGCGTGTGTAGAGTGGCAGAGGGTGAGAATCCTCAAGCAGACCCCCCCACCCCCCAAGCCTGACTCAGGGCTGGATCTCATGACCCTGAGATCATGACCTGAGCTGAAACCAATAGTCAAATGCTTAACCAACTGAGCCACCCAGGAGCCCCTCTTAGTACACCTCTAAACAATACCTTTCAGTATGATAACAATTCTTTTGTTTCAGTTACTTTTGTTTTATAATTTTTTTTCTGGTTAGCCCAAACTAAACTCGTATTGGGCTTCCTTAGAGCAAAAATAGTTTTTATTCATTTTCATCTCTTCAACATTTACGGGAGAGAATTGACGTTCTGTGCCAACCCTATTTTGGAAGCTATGATGGGCACTTTACGTGTGTTTTCTGGCTTAGACCTTATACTTCTGCCATTTATATGCTGTGCAGCCTCGGACAAATCACTGATGTCTCTGAGCTTCACTTTCCTCCTTTGTTAAACAGAGGCTCTTACCTTCACATTTATTAAGGAATACCAGCATTCCTGGCACACAGAGTAGCTATTTGTCATATTCATACCAATCTATAAAATAATAACACTATAAAGATATGTCAAGAGTGATTACTTACTGGGTGATTTTTGCATAACTTCACCATTGTAAAGGTTATGTGTTTTTTTCCTGAAGATATTTCTTTCCTTATATTTTATACCTAAATTTATGACTTCTGATGGTCTGACACGGGAAGAAAATAATATATGATAAAATAAAATATCAGCCACGAATAGGCACTTTCAAGCTTTAAATACATATCTTACTTTGACAAAAGAAAATAAACAAAGAAACAAAAAAACCCAACCAGACAAACAAAAAAGCCCTCTCTACTGTGGACCTAATTGATGACATTTGTTTATACTAATCAGGCTGTATCTTTGAAGAAAATGGCTGCTAACCAGATGATGATATAAAAAGGTAAGAGCCAGAGAGGCCAAGAGGCTAGTTAAGCTAAGATTCCCATAGTAACTGGAAAGTCAGAGAAAAAATTATGCAGAAGAAAATTTCACAGAAGCACACACTATTCTTGCCCTGTGTATAAATTAAATGGGCTAACTAGTGGTATGTGTCAAAAACTTATCCAGTGTGAGGCCTGGATCTTCACTTATGGTATCCAAAATGCAAAAAAAAGTTCAGTATTTTTGAGGCTTATCATATGAATCTATAGGAAAACTTCAGATTAGCTTGAATCCATGGAAAAACTGTTATCATTAAAACAGAGGGAGTGAAATCATTATATAGCTGTATATAATTCTTGTCAGAAAACAGGAAATGGTCTCAACTATATTTAACGTTCACTGCACAGACCTCTACCTCGACAACGACAAGTTGTGTTGTCCAAAATCGTTATTATTCTCTTGGATGCATCAGGTCAGAAAACACACCCATTTTTCACACAATTAATGGGAGCCCTGGGGCCTACCCTCTCCCTGCTGCCTCCCTTCCTTGCATCTGTTAGCCCTCCTGCTGATTGTTCTCCCACCCCCTAACTTTTATTCGCAGTTCTGCTGCCTCCAGAGTAGCTGGAGAACCTCTAGAGGTTTCCTATACTCTCAGCCCCAATTTCCTGCTTTACACAATGAGATTCTCACTGTGGTTTTAAAGGAGAGGAGATGGATGGCTGTTTGGCGATGTGCCTAATAAAAAACACTATTCAATAAATGTTCATTTCCCTCCTTCCTTTCCCTCTGCTCTATTTGGACTGTATTTCCCAAACTCAAGAGTTTAAAATATCAATACAAGTGAAATTAAGTAAATGTATCTCAAAGTTAATATTGTGTGCTATTTATATAGCTTTAAATAGCAATTTATTGATTGCTTTTTTATACATAAATAAACTTTTCATTTTAGAGTTATTTTAGATTGACAGAAAACTTGTGAAGATAACATAGCACAGTTTTCTGGTATATCCCCTCACCCAGCTGTCCCTATTGTTAATTACTATTTATCACAACTAAGAAGCCAATATTGGTACATGACTACTAACTAAACTCAATATTTTATTAGGATTTCCCTAATTTTTTCCTAATGTCTTTTTTTCTGTGCCAAGAAATCACATTATATTTAGCTTTCTGACTCCTTAGCTTCCTCTGGTCTATGATAGTTTCTCAGACTTTCCTTGTTTTTTATGACTTTGACAGTTTTGAGGAATACTTGTCAGATATTTTTGTAAAATGCCCTTCAATTTGTGTTTATCTGATGTTTTTCTTAGGGTTAGATGGGAGGAAGTCAATGGAGATGAAGTGCTATTATTACATATTATCAAGGGTATATGCTATCACCCTGTCTTATCACTGTTGATGCTAAACTTACCATTGGCCAAGGTTGTGTTTGCCAAGCTTCTACCCTGTGTAAAGTTACTTTTCCCTTCCTTTCCATACACTACTCTCCAGAAGCAAATTTCTAAGCACAGCCTATACTTAACAAGGGGATGACAATGGGAGATAAGCTCTATTTCCTTGACTGGGTGAAGTATCTACATAAATTATTTGGAATTACAGATTTTTTTTAAAGTGAATCTTCGGCATCCAAAGACTAAAGCAGGTGGCATTTTGTCCCCAAAGCACACTGGAATGGTGATTTCCCTCATGTACAATCCCTCATGAATCAGAACATATTATTTAGTCACTATCTTGGCTTGGAAAACCACTGCGATGGCATCCTTAGAGAGTCATTATAAGATAGTAAGAGAATCTGTAACAATAAGAAGTTTACCCTTTACAGGAAGGGTAAAATGTAGTACAGTTATGCCTTACAGTTGTTAGGTTAATACTATTTTTCCCCCCAGAAAAGTATTATTGTTATAAACTGACGTACAAACTGTTGAGGGAGGCCTAGAAATAGGGAGGTCTACCTTTGGACTAGATAACACTAGACCTTTATTTTTCCAAGACAATCTGAACTTTTTCCTGCTTTTAGGCCATTTGCTTCCTGGCTCTCTCAACCAGTGATACTAAAATCACTTTGCTTATCTCCACTTAAGAGTTAAATCCACAGAGGGAAAGGGGTGGGCATAAGGTAGGAGAGACTCTCCTGGGAATCACACTAAACTGTACTACTGAGATGACTGCCAAGGAAGGACAGCCATAGTGACAAAGCTCTCACCTCAGGGCAGTTCTATGAACCACTAGACAGCAGGATCAACTTCATATTCAAAGCCCAACTTATTGCTTCCTTTCCTGTAGATATTTGACATTTGGGGGAATGGTTACTATGAAAATGCACACACAACTGGAAAGAGGTGAATATTCCCAAAATTCCAATACTCTTAATGGGCAAAGATAAAAATGCAGAATAATGTAATAAAGGGCTTAGAGCCAGAAGAGGGCCTACTATGGGCTCTGGGAAACTTGCCATCAATTCTATGAGAAAGAGAGGCTCTAACTGATCTCTCACCTCTTGGTTCAGGATATAGAAGGGAAGAATGACATGTGACAAGTCTCCAAGTGCCCTACTAGGCATTAAAGGAAAGCAAAAGTGCCTAGAGTAGTGGCTTATACATAACAGATACTTGACAAAATGTTTGATCACTTGACTCAGAAACCAATAACTTTTCCATATTGTCACATGATGCTTGTTGGGCAGGCAGTATGGAGTGGTGGCAAAGTACACTGGCTCTGGGGCCAGAAGGCCTGTTTTGGGATCTCTGGTTCACCTCGTGCTGGTGGGTTGACACTGGGCAAATCACTTAACTTTTTTCTGCCTTGCTCTCCTAGTCGTGAGATGGGGATGATAACTGTAACCATTTCCAAAGATTACAGGGACAATTAAATGAGTTAAATACCTAAGGACCTTAGCACAGTGCCTGGAATATGGTAGGAGCTCAGTAAGTATTGCCCACTATCACTTTAAGCAAGAATAAGAAAATATTTTCCACTCAAAGTAGGGAGTTCCATCACCCCTTATGGCCAGCCCTACTACTCTTGGGAACTCTCAGAACGATGAGACAAAAAATAAGGAGATGTGGTACTTTCAAAAATAATAATTTGCTGTACTAGTATTTTTAAGACTTAAATTTTTAAAAATGAGTAGACTTTCATTTGCTTTCATTCGTTATACATGGGCAAAGGATGATTATTGCCACAGATTGTTGGTAAAAGTAGACTGTCAATCCTCCAAGTGTTTTATGTCATATAAGGCCTAATTTAAAATGCGATTTTAATGTTTTGTGTATTTTTTCTTACAGCTGTCCATAAATTTCCTAATTTAATTTCTAACAGAAGATCTCCTGACAGGATAATTAGGTAATCAACAGCATATAAATAATATTAAATATCAATTCCCTCCTAACCATAATAAGGATTTAGAACATCATAATTTCTCATCTCTAAGAAACATCAATTTTAAGTGTGCCTCTGTCTTATACAACTTACTGAGAAATTAATGGAAATTTCTGTTTCATTTCCCATCTGATTCTTTTATCCTGGTTTCTGATAATTAACCCTTTCCCCACTTTTGAAATGGCAGCCAAAGTGAAAAGTGTCAGATAACAGAAGGTAGAGTAGACTTGCTCTTTGTTGCCCTAGAATAAAAATGAAGATCGATGAGAGAGAGTTCTACACATGAATAGATCTGACTTAACATTAGAGTCATTCTATAATAAAGGCTGGTTCAATAACAGAGAACACCATATTTAAGATGGTGAGCATCCCATAGGAATTATGGGCTGTGGTTCTCTGAAGGATGTGACAGCAATCGGTCGAGTCTAATACCTCTAATACCTCTTTCAAGTTCATTATTAAATTGTTAAAGATTAATAAACATGTGGGGAAAAAAGTTCACTCTCGCAAATAATCAAAATAATCAACTGAAAAAAATGATGAAATACCACGGCAACAGTTTTAGGACAATGACAACATCCGGGGTTGGTTCCAAGGCAGCCGTTTCTATGCACTGCTGGTGGGGGCACCCACAGGCCTAGGGACAGCAACTTAGCAAGATGATCTAAAGGCCTTTGAAATTTTGGACTTGGCAACTCCATTTTGAAGAATTTATTCTGATGATGAATGTCATTGGGTCTTCTAACATGTATACATGAAGGTGTTTAAGAAATGTTTTCCCAAATAACATTTGTAAACAATCTAAATGCTCAAAAAAAAGGAAATGGTTACAGAACTCCTAAGTTCCTAGGATGTCATTACAGATGTGGATGTCTGTGGCCACCCCTGTTAATTCACACAGAAATGGACTCCCTGTGTATTTTCTGAATGATAAAACAGGTTATAAACTATCTATGATAGTCTTCGTTTTCATAAGATATACTTTTGTTTATTTGCTTATTTGCCTGGATCTGGAAATGCCTAAGGGTCAGCACCAGTTTTGCAACAGGTGATTTTTCTTTTTCCTTCTTGCTTATTTGTACATCCAAAATTTCTCCTAAAGAACATGTATTTTTTTGGCAGTAAAGAAATACTCTAGGAGGAGGAGGAGCAAGATGGAGGAAGAGTAGGAGACCTGAATTTTGTCTGGTCCCAGGAATTCAGCTAGATAGGGATCAAACCATTCTGAACACCTACGAACTCAATAGGAGATTGAAGAAAAGAAGAGCAGCAACTCTCCGAACAGAAAAGCGACCACTTTCTGGAAGGTAGGATGAGCAGAGAAGTGAATCCGAGGCAATATTCTGGAAGACAGATGGTGGGGGAAGGGGCCTCTGTCGGCCGCTACTGGCAAGTGATAGAGCAGCA